ATTTTTCTGAGTGTAGCTCTAGGACACCTAAAGTGCATATAATTTTTCAATTTGAAATGTTTCGTGTGCTGCAGACACATTTGACCAAACCAAACCAAACCAAACCGAACCAAACCAGGCAACCAGGCAGCGGTTCTGTGGTTGCCCCAAAAAGGTGGCAACTTTTAGCGCCAGACCCAAATGAATTGTGGCCAAAAAGTTGCAACTGTTTTTTCACGCTCTTCGAGTGTGTTGCTCTGTGTGTGTGTGCGTGTGTGTGTGTGTTGTGTGTGTGGCGCAGTTAAGCAAATATTTAATTGCTGCACTTTTTCTGGCACTCGCTCAGTCGGTTGTTATATGCTGAAAGTTTGCCAAACGTCAGTTTTTCGCTTAGGGTATAGCCTTGAGCAGGGTATCATGATTTTGGCAGGCAGCGTGCACAGTCTGTGTCTATATAGATATATACTATATATATATATATATATATGCATTTTACAACAATCTTAATGACACTTGAATTATATATTTTCTCAGTTTGTATTTGAACGCAAATCGGAAATCGAAATATATTTAATCTGTACAAATTTGGCTAAAAGTGATCAATATATGTTGGCCAATATATCATATAGAAATACTCGATCCAGTTTTTGCTTAGAGTATTTAAAATTCCACTTGTCTAATTTGGCAGTGTTTCTTCACGATTTTTTGTACATTTTGTTGGCCAACAACATTTTGAGTTTGACCAATAATTTTATGTGCTGCCATTTGCCCAACAATAACAACCGCTGTCTCTCTCTCTCTATCACGCTCTCTCTCTCTCTCTCTCTCTCGCTCTCTCTCTCTCGCTCACTCTCTCTCTCTCTCTCTCTCTCTCTATCTGTTTCTATCTCTGTCATTGGCTGTGTTAATGATGTTGACCTTTGCAACAAGCAAAATGTTGAAATGTTGTTAACTTTAAAGCCGACGTCTGCGGCCAATTTGAATGGCTTTTCAATAACAATTGTTATTGGCCAGAAAATAAAATGCGAAAATTGTGAAAATGGGAAAATGCTTATTGCCTACTTTTGCGCGTGTGATTTTCATAATGAGCAATTTGTTGTTATTGTTTTTTGTTTTTTTTTGTTGCTGGCATAATTAATTGTTTTCACACATAATAATTTAATAGGTTTGTACACGTGTAAAGTGTCCAGCCCCCTCTGAGCCATCAATAATAAATATGGCTATAATTGCGTATTGGCCATAGTTGCAATATGTCAACCTTTGCAGCTGTTTCCCACTACATATATCCCCTATACACATACATATATATATATATATATTTGTATGCTGTGCACTTTGCATGTGTTTCAATGTTTAAATGTCATTAACAAAGCCGTAAATTATGTGTGCAACCAGCAAGCAGCAAGTAGACACCGACGTGCCCCAGCTGTGTGTTTGTGTGGCTGCAACAAAAGTGCAAACAGGTTGAGCTTTTTTCCATCGTGCCGGGGTTGGGGCAAGAACGGAGCTTAATAAACCCGCTCATAACTCTGTCCCCCTCTCTTTCCCTCTCCCTCTGTGTCCACTTGCAGCTTTATTAGCTTTTGAACCCTTTGCTTTTGACCGCTTAGGTAAATATTAATAACCAGCAGTCAAAAAAAAGAAAGAAAAATGTAAAAGCAATAATTGCAACTGCTACAGTGAAGCTGCAGCAAATGGACATAAACAAAAATATCGAAAAGGAAATAAAACTTGTTTAGGCTTGAGTAAATTCAATAATAATCAAAAATATGATTTGCGAAAAGAATTTCATGTTTCGGAGACAAACAAAATCTCAAATTAAGATAAGAACTTGAAAGACTTGTTTAAATTTATATGATTTTTGAATAAATATCAGAACATTTGTCTGGTTTTAGTATAAAGAAAAGCGAAATAAAAAAGTTGGAAGATTCGATTCGAGGCGGATCATTTTAGAATAATCTATTATTTATTTCTTGCTTGTACCAAAGGTTAATAAGATGACAACTAGATTGGAGTTGAAAGAGTTTCGAATAAAGTAACTTAAATTTGTAAAAAGATAGCAAACTTGATTCAACTTGGATCATTTTAGAATCCAGATTAATTGCTTGCCAGCACAACTTGAGTAAATTTACATCATTCCATAAAGAACAAACTGACTCTAAGACTATTTTCTAGCCAATGGATAAGCGTAGTAAGAAGACAATTAATCTTAGAATGGACGGGTGGAATTCTAATATATTGTTTAGCCTGTAGCAAAGGGAACTAGGCTTACTTGTTATAAGATCATTTTAGATTAAAAACTAAAACAATTGAAACTAAGATTATTTTTTGTAAGAGTTGTCTTCTTAATTGATTTAAGCTATATTATTCTACAATAAACAGAGTCAAACTAAGTATGTTTAACTAACTTGATTCAAGTTGTTTCTAGCCTCAAGCAAAGTCAGCAATTTATCTCATTTCTTTTAGTTATTAATCTTATTAATCTTGCGTACTTAATCTATTAAATATATAACTTGCTCATTTTTCTTTGAATCGCCAGGCAGCTCTTACAGCACGCATAGGCAATTTCCACTGTGGCTACACACAGAAAAAATGCTCCCCACATATGAGAAATCAGATAGCTTCAAGCTGTCCAACTTTTTGTATTTTGGCTCATTTTTGGCTCATTTTTTGGCTGCTGCTTTTATGAAGGTAGAAAAAAGTAAGCCGAAAAAAGCAAGCAACAAACTAGCCTATATGAATTTATGAGCAACTGCTTGATGGGGGGGCCTCACATGGAGTGGGGGGCAAGTAACTGTGGCATGCAACTAGAGCAGCCAAAAAAAGAAAAGCAAAAAGAAAAAAGAAATGCAACAAAATTATAATTTATGTGGCTTTAATAGCCGCTGGGTACAAGGTGGGTGTGTGTGTGAGTGTGTGTGTGTGAGTGTGTGTGTGAGTGTGTGTAAGTGTGTGAGTGTGTGTAAGTGTGTGAGTGTGTGTAAGTGTGTGAGTGTGTGTGTGTGTGCCTCCCTCACAAGACACACACACGCACAACTTGACGCTTATCGCAGGGCCAGTGTTGTAATTTTTTTTTGTTTTTTATGATTGTACAGCCTAGACGAGAATAGAGTGAGGATAGGCTAGGAGGTGGGGAGGGGAGGGGCGTGGTGTGCTGTGGTGTGGTTTGGTGTGGGTAGTTTGTAAGTAAGTGTTGGTCTGTCTTATCAGGGTCTGCCTGTAGCAACATTTATTTAATGCCTTATCACACGAAGAAACAACAACAGCAACAACAACAGCAACAACAACTGCACAATTGGGAGTTACGAGTGTTGTGAATGACAGACCAAGAAGAAGAAGCACACACACACACACATACACTCAAGACACAGACTTTATGATAGGCCGTTTCAGCGTGCTTGCTATCTCGCTCGCTCGCATGGCTGCCACAGGCTGGCTGGGCATATCTCTCGTACTCGGCTTCTTTTGCTCCCCTGATAATACTCTTTTTTTTTTCTTTCTCATTTTCTCTGTTTTTTTTCTCTGTTTTTTTTTTTTGGTAAACGCCTACGTTTTTATTTAATGCCAGTATTTGTTTTTTTTTTTATTATAGCGGTGTTTGCTTATCATAGTTTATAGTTGTTGTTGCTGTTGCTGTTGTTGTTGCCTTGCTGATAAACTTTACGTAAGCATATATAAATATATACAAAATATAAGAAAACCTCTCGAGTGTTGGAAAAACCTCAAGCGTAGGCTTTATCTGAATAAAAAAGAAAAAAAAGTAAAAAAGAATAAAGAAAAAAGAAAAAAACATCCACTTGCCTTGGGTCCCATGTGTTTTAGTTCTGTTTTATCTTTGGGGGGAACTTAATTATTTTCTCATTTGTTTTCGATATATATGCATTATTGTGCATGAAATAAATATACACAATTATATATATTTCTCATGTGTATTGTGTATTGTGTCAACAGGAAACGTGGGCATATTCATAAGGTTGACTTTGTGCTTGGCACCGTCTTCTTATCCGTTCCACACGTTATCGTTGCCTGCCCACTTTCCGCACACAGCAACAACAACAGCAACAGCAACAACCACAACAACAACAACAACAACAACAACAACAACAACAACAACAACCACAACAACAACAACAACTTGAACAACTTGAACAAAGCCAGCGCATTGTTTTAAAAGATGCGTTTGCTCAAAGATCAACTCAATCTCAGTCTGAGACTCAGTCTGAGTCTGAGGCAGCATTCTCCGATTTGGGATATTTATAGATCCATGCAGAAGACGACGTGTGATCAACTCGCGCACTCGACTCGTCTGAACTTTGACCCCCACCACGCAGCTGCTGGACTTGTGTAAGAAATACAATTTATCAGTCCAAATCTTTGTGTCTAGTCTGCTCGTAATTTATACAACTAAACCCAAGCACTAAGCAGACATTCTCTTATAAATATATATATATATATATTATATATCAGTTTTTCAGTAGTAAATTTATCAGAATCGGTCAGGAATTCGCCAGGGATTTGTCATACTTGGTTTAAGAATGCTTTATTCACCATTGCCAGACCAGTCGAGATAAGGAAGAACATTGTTTCATCAAAGCAATTCCTAAGAATGTCATAGCTATTTCAAATAAATGTTAATGACATCAATGACTGTTTAAAAAGAATTGTCCACGTCATTATAATAGTAGAACCCATATTTCTTCATTTCTTTCATTCGAATTTTTGAGAGAAAAAATGTGTTCTATGTTTATAATTTATATTTTGACATATTTTAATTGACATCATCTTAATAATAGAGAAATTATGGAATTATTTGGAAAAGAGAAACCTATGCCTGTGCTTTTTCTCTGAGTGTACATTCAGCATACACTTTAAAAAGATGCAATGACAAAAACATGTTTTATATTTGCAAAAGAGAGTTTTTCTACAAAAAATCATCAGCCAACTTGATGTGTATTCAAGGAATTATATAGTATATAGTCGTATATATAGGTGTAGATATATTTGTCGATCTGTCGACTCACCTGTTTGACGTTCTGGGCGATTGTGTGCTGCCGCGTCGGCGAGTGCAGCAGCTGGTGTTGCTCGAGTTGCTCGCGACTGTGGAAGGTGGCTGTGCACTGCATGCAGGGGAAGCCAGCAGCTGGGAGATCTCCGCCAGCCGTGGAGCCCGGACTGGAGGTGGAACGATGGGCACTCAAATCCAGATCGTAGGCGGAATTGCTGCCGATGCTGCTGCTGTTGCTGCTCGGCTTCTGTTGCTGCTGCTGCTGCTGCTGATGCTGCTGTTGATGTTGATGTTGGTGCAACTGTTGCTGCTGGTTGTTGGGTGAGTTGGCTGAGCGTGCCGATTGCATGGCCATCGCAGCGGCTGCCACAAATTGCAAATGGGCGGCAGGATGCGGCAGATGGGCGAACAGATCACTGGGCGTGGCGGGGGCAACGGGGGAACCCAACGAGGCAGGTGAATGTGAAATGCGTTTATTTTGATTCTTTGCCGTTTCACTATTATTATTATTATTATTGTTGATGTTGATGTTGTTATTGTGACTGTTGTTGTTGTTGTTATTGTTGTTGTTGCTTGGGGATTTGGCATAGCGAGGATTGCTGCTGCTGCTTAGATTGCTGTGCTCCTCCTCCTCGTCCTCCTCCTCCTCCTCGGGCTCCGCCTCGGGCTCGCTGTCGGGCTGAGCTGCGCCTGGATGCGGCTGCTCATAGTTCAGCTTGTCCAGCGGATGCTCGCTGGCAATGTGCTCGCTAAAGGACTGCAAATTATGCATATAAATTTGTAAATATTATTTCTATTTTTATTCATTTATTTTTGTATTTTTTTTTTAGGTTTTCTCAGCGTGACTCACCTGAAACTCGTTGAAGCGCTTGTGGCATTGGGGGCATTTGACCAGACACTCATCGGCCGCATTCGCTGTGGCGGCACTGGTTGCATGTGCCACATGCTCCGTACTGGCTGCTGCCACATTGCTCGCCTGGCTGTTGTTGTGTGTTGTGGTTTGATGATGGTGTAAACTGGACGCCAAAGAGGGAACTGCAAAGAATAATGGAGAAACAGAGAACAAATTAGATTAAGCTTGGGATTTGTAGTGAAAGATTGCACTGCGAGAAATGTGTTACTTCAAATTAACAGCTGATATTTGATATACGAAGAATTATTTATGTACACTGTTCAAAAGTTGATCAACACTTCAGTTTATCCACAACTGTTTTGAAATTACTTCTACGACAAATGCTGAAAATATCCTCAATTAACGAACTTAATCTGAATACAAAAGTATATTTCACACTAGAAATTAATGTTTATACTGGAAATAATTAATATTAAAATAAATATTAAATATTAATCTTTAAATATGAATATTTCTCTTATGTTCAATCTAAGGCTAGGTTGTTCAGTTTGCTGAATTTATTTATTTTAAAATATAATTTTAATAAATGAGATTTTTCCCGTCATTTCATTTGATTTTATCGATAACTTCATCCGTTTCGCGTACATCGATTTCGGATAGCGAAAAAGAAACCAAACTGTAAAGATATAGCCATTCAATAGATATATAATATATTTATATATATTACTGATCCACTGTACAAATTTAATTAAGATCGACGAGGAAGAAAATATTTTGTTAATCAAAATTGATTTTCATATTGAACAAACTACTATCAACAAGCAGTTGATATATGAGATATATATATATATATCTGAATATATATATATATATATATAGTGTAACTCCCAGTTTATCTCCCTTGAGAAAATAATGCTAATTGGCTTCAATATGAAATATATGGCAAACTAAGAAGCCAGAATTGAAGGTCATTTTAAGCAACTCAAGCGATTTTGGTATATTTGTTGCGTGCTCAGCTCAAGCTAAAAAAAAAAATTAACTTAATTTATTTATTTACTCAATGTGCACTAAAATTAGTAAACAAATCGATTTTCAGTTTGAAAAAAGTAACGTTTTTTCATTGGAAACTGAGAGCCAGCCATTTTGGCGCAATAAAGGCGCATGTTTTAATGAAAACAAATTAACTGTGAGATCTGCACTGGCGATAAGACTTGAATGGAATGCCACACAACGAGGCAAAGGGGAGGGGCACGCAACCATTAAGTTGCCGTGTGGCATTCAGCCAGGCAGCCAGGCAGGCAGGCAAACTTTAGAGTCGCCTCGCAGAAAGCAAAGATCAACTTTAATTTCGTGGCAAATCAACTTGCCAAACTCAATGCTACACAGCAGAGAAGCCCCAACAAGAGGCACAACTCTTTATCCCCTGCCCCCCCTCTCCCCCTACCCCCTCAGCTGCCACAGCCTTTGACTTATTGGCATTGTGGCTTGGCGTTGCCTTCACGCAACGTTTCCACGTAAAAGGCGATGATCTCATGCGCCAATCAAAAAACTGAAGAAAAAAAAATGAAAAAAGAAAAAAGGAAATATTTAAAAAAAAAGAGTGGAACTGGTTTTCACACACACACACACACACACACAGAGAGAGAGAGAGAGACTGAAGAGTCGACTCTTAATCAGTTTAAAAAAGCGTTCAAGCATGCGAAAAGGGAGATCATAAAAAACGCACACAACAAAAAACACACACACACACAACAAAAAACACACACACAAGTTGAAGATGGAAAAGAAAAAAAAAAGAAAAAATGAAAAAAATGTATCTTGAAGATTGCTTTGTTCAATGACGACGACGACGTCGCTGGCGATGCCGAGGGTCAGCCAATTGCTATACACACACACACACACACACACACACACGCACACACACACGCAGAGAAGTGTGTGTGTGAGATACTTATGGCCGCTGAGTCGCTTGGTAAATAAGCAACTTTGTTGTAGATGCTACATTCGCCTGGGGCACGTTGCAAGGTACAAAATGGAGTTCAGTTTTCTGTATCTCACAATGGGAGTCTTTGTTGTAGCTGTTGCCGTTGCCGTTGCCGCTGTGGCAGTTGCAGTTGCAGTTGTTGCTGTAGCTGTTGTTGCTATTTGATCGCTACCTTAATTTAAGCCAATTAACCGCCTGCAGACAGGCAGACAGTCCGACAGACGACAGGGGACAGAGGACAGGGGACAGAGGACAGAAGGCGGTGGACAGACAGACGCCGCTTCATAGGGGCACTCACATGTGCAGCGTTGCTAAATTAATGGCTCTGTGGTACCTTGCAGCTTTAACAGCTACATACACTCGAAGAAAATGCCTGCTGCTTTTGAATTCGAAAAGTTATACAAGCAAAGAAATTTGATTATTCAATTTCTTAGTCACAAAGCGACAAGTTGTTCTTGAATCAGATTATAAATTGTGTTCAAAGTCAAAATCGATTATGAATATTTGATGCACTCGAAGAAAACAGCTGCAATAAGTTAGTAAGTATAAAAGTTCTTCAACTCAAGCTCGATTCCTCAAATATTGATTACAATTTGTTGTAAATTATTCTCAAAGTCAAAATCAATTAATAATATTACATACACTCGAAGAAAACTAGTGCTATAATTGCGTTCTACAAATGATTCAAGTAAAATGCGTTCTTAAACTAAAAGTGTTCCTCTGATTTCGACTACAACTTATTCTTGATTGATCACAATTCATTCTTGAATTGAAAATTGATTGTTGATGATGGATTAATAAGAACAAACGCCCTCCTCCATTTCTAACGGTTGATTAATCTTTAATCATGATTGAAGCACAGAGTTACCATTCCCATTCCCATTCATTAACAAAGTACTTATTTCAATGAATATACAAGGAATGGTATTACTTAAGTATTTCTACTACTTCAAATGAAAAGCAGATTGCCTTCGAGACAAGGCTGAGAACAATTGTCCTTCATTTAATGTCCTTCATTTAAATAATAAAAATCTCTTTAAATTAAGAAATTCGCTTTTTCCCATTTGACATTTGAGCTTGATTCAAGTACAAAATTCCCAGCGATTTTTCACAGTGCACACACAACTATATTCTATAGCCGTATCTCGTATCTCGTATCTTGTATCTTGTATCTTGTATCTTGTTGCTTGTGTGACTGGCCCACCAATCAACAACAATCTGCGGCGAGTTCGTTGCACGTTTGTCTAATATTTTTTCTTTTCTTTTCTTTTATTTTTTATTTCTCATTTTTATTATTTTCACTTTCGATAGTTTTGCTTCTTCTTAATGGTTTTTATTGATATTACGCAGTTAATTGATTCGGATACAGTTTGATTTGAGTTTACACAGCTGCGGGTCTGCAGTACTCATATATATATTTAGTACTGAATATATATGTATATATCTATATATATATATTTGTATTTAATGCCCGCATTGAATTATTAAAATAGCCAAATTCGAGCTGATCGCACTAATCAGAATTTAGTTGCAAATGTCTCCTGGGACCTATTTTAAATGTCATTAAATTAATATGTTAATAAAAAGAAGACAGCTGCTTTTGTATTACAGCACTTTTGTTTGCATTTCAGTTCATTAATATTAGTATACATATATATATATATATGTATATATATATGCATGTATATAATTTTGAAATTTATTTCATGCTGCCTGCTTAATGACGCTTTTATTAAATGAATCTGTCGGCCATTTGCTCATCTTAATAAAATATGCAAGTTGTTAAAATTCAAACCACAAAGAATACAACAAAAAAAAGAACAAAAACAAAAACAAAAACAATAATAATGCTATATTAAAAGACGAAACAAATTTTATGGCTTTTTTCATCATCATCAACAAACGACGGGCTGAAATGATGGGTGTGCGTGTGTGTGTGTGTTGTGTGTGTGTGTTGAGTGTGTGACACTCAACACTCAACAAGTGTGTCACCAGCTCATTTAGTTCAATCAATTTTTCATAACAGAAATTATTAACGCAACGTGAAAAAAGTCGTTTCACATTTTACACTTATCACCAAATACCCTGTAACCATTAAAAAGTGCTCAAACACGAGGTATATTTGAGTTGTGCTTGTGTGAAAAAAAAGGGGAATTCTATCTCAATTTTTGGCATATCCAAAAATTTGGCAAATATTTTTAAGTTTATTTCTTAAACAGACTTTGCAATTGAATTTGATTGAATTTGATAGACACACGCAACTTGTAATTTGACTGCAGCTACAGGGCATCTGTGAGTCGTGTATGCTCGTAGCTGTTAATGTTTTGATTATTTCATGTGTAAGCCCAAACGGTATTGAAATATTGAAAGTGTCCGCAAATTAATTTCAATTTGTGAAAAGCCAAACGAATAAAAAAACACAAAACAAAAGATGACCAAACGAATTTTGATAGTCGCATCAAATATTAATGTTATTGTTGCTATTGTTGTTGTTGTTGTTGTTGATGCTATTTGTTGTTGTTGTTGGTGGGCAACTATTTGGCGCTTACGCACGCCAATTGAAGTTGATTGATAGTATTTTCTAGTTGGGCTAGAAATAAAGCATTAAAGTTGAAATTCATTTTTGTTTCCAGCTTGAAAATATGCTGAGCATCTTAATCTTTGCTGATTGATTTTAAAGATTGCTTCTCTGTTTCCCTGTGGCTTTTTTTACAGATTATAAAATGCAGCTGTTGGTGGTAGTTTAGGAGCAACTAGTTTTTTGCATTCATTCAGACATAGTTTATGTGGCCAATAAATAAAAACACCTGTTGACTTGCAACATAAACTCAAACGGAAATATATAAATACATATAAAATGCTAATAGATGCGACACAAATGTTTATAAAAATGACAACTTTTATGATCTCTAAAACACAAGCCGAAATCGTATCAAAAATTGTTGGAAATGCCAAATACACTTGGGGAAAATACATAAAGATAACTGAAAGGCAAAATATGATTGAAGAGTTTTTGAATGCCAGAATTAAAATCAGAATATGAAATTGATAAGTACGAAAATAAACTTGATTAAAGATTGCTTTTCTGGGAATTTGTGCTTGGCTTAAGATTTTTCCATTTAAAGAATATATTTTTGATTTTTGATAATGCTTTGAATAAATGGCGGCAGTTGACTTAACATTTTTGGAATTGGAATT